GCTCCCAAGCTCCAGCAGCCTGCCAAGTAATAAAGATTCAGTGCAAAATCCTGGCTCCTTAATCCAGGACCCACACTCAGATAACATTTATTGATATTCCAGCTATGTAGCTACAAATGAAAAATATTACACATAAAAGATACTGAAAGTTCTTGACAGGGCTTGAGGAATGTTAAACCTGTTCAAAGAAACAGTCCTCATCGAAAAGCCACAAGACACAAAATTCTATTTCAAGAAACATGTAGATTTCCAGCATGACGGTTTCCTCCACAGTGTGACAAAGACAGGCAAAACACCTTGTTGGAGGTTTTTAATCTATTAGCAAAGGCTCCACAAAACTCAGAAATCTTAAAGTTACTTGAAAGTGAGATTCTTCTGTTTTATAGTCTTTCTAGATAGATGTCTAGATGATGGCTCACTAACTATTTGGTATTAAAGTTCTTCGATTTCAAAGCTTGCTGATGCCAGTGATTAAAATCTCATGTGGGCCGGCTGGACTTGGCCCGGATGTGTTTGGAAATGGGTCACCCGAAGCTCATTCTCCCTTCTTAACAGCTTTCCAGGTCCCTTTAAGAAACTTTTCTTTTTCTGAATTGAAAATGCTCTTTATTACAAGGTGGTGAATTTCAAGGGTCTTCTTTTCTACCTTTAATAGAAAGGGCCTCTGTATTAACACTCTCAGGTGGACTCAGAGTTAGCTCGGCTCCCTTCTGAGAATTCAAATTTAGTGAAAAAGAAACTCCTCCTGGCAGAATTTATTCATTCTCACTCTGATACTATCTCACTGAGATTATGCCTTAACATTTCAAGATCATCATCATCATCATCATCATATCCTCCATAAGTCCAGAGTATTTGGTTTCCATTGTATTTCAAATGCAGAGTCCTAACTGATTGGCCTTCTACTTACTGACTTGAAACTTGACCTTATTCAACAATAACAATGGAATTTAGGGGGGACTACAAAAAGGATTCCTGGAAAAAGCTGTTACAAAGTGCTCCATCAGTATGGTAGTTGTCCCCAATAAGAATGGTAAAGTGGGGCCTCTTGGCCCAGAGCATGGCCAGAAGTCGCCTAAGTGTCTGCCCTGGGGCCCCATGGTGGGCGCCATTGCGATGGGTGACTATGTGATGGAGAGATGGGAAAGAAGGAGTAGTGGACAGATTTTGGGACAGAAATCTAAGCAGAGAAGTTTGTGCGCTGAGGGCAGAGGGGCAACTGGAGACACAACAGTGGTGAGGAACAGGCCGATCTGAGGAACCTGCGAACCACCAGAGTGGTATCTGGGCTGGGCTGCCCTGGAGGGCCATGTCTGGGCCCATGGCTCTACGGCAGCTGGAGTCTGTGCTGTTGTCCTGGACCCGTGTTGCCACCGAAAGCCTTCCAGATAGATGTCCATGGTCTGGGCTACTGCCTGAGGCCACGTTGACGTCCAGGGGCCTTGCTGCTGCAGGGAGCTAAACTGATCTCCACCAATCCTTGCTCTGCTACCTGACTCCATGGCGATGTCCTGAGCTGCCACCAGAGGACATGTCTGTGTCTGTGGTCCTATCACAGCCGGAGTCTGTGTGGACGTCTGAAGCCCGGGTTTCTCCCGAAAGCCGTGTGGATGTCTGTGGTCTGTGCTGCTGCCTGGGGCCACGAAGATGTCAGAACACCACGATGAGCTGGCCCCACCCCTCGACAGGCCCCACCCAAGCCCAGATCCAATGACCTGCTGGAGCCAGGGACGAGGCTGGTCCTGTGGAACCATAGCCACAGGATCTCCATGACTCTGGGAAGTAGCTGGATCTCTGAGAGGAGACCAGTATGGATGGTGTAGCAGAAGCCAGAGGCCCTGAAGCAAACCAATGACTCAGTGCCATGACAGCTGCTTGGGCAAAAGGGTATACTGCTTGACACACTGAGGCACCCGATGCCACTATGACAGACGAGCGTGTGAGCAGAGGCCGGAAGGATGGAGGAGCAGAGTGGTACAAGCACACAGACAACCACAGCGGGTATGAGAGAAGTCTGCCATTGACAGAGGAGGTTATGAAGGTGGAGTCAGAAAGACTGGGGAATGAATGGTAAAATGGGGTGTATGAGGTAAAATTCCCAAAGGATCAATTGCAAATTTATTTTTTAAATAAAGCAATTATCAGAATCTCAAGAAAAGTTTATCAGTAGTGTAAAAGATATAAAGCTGCATGCTGACTTTTCGCCATAAAATTGCAGTTATTTAAAACATAATCCTGGCGAAAGGATGGAGAGACGAGCATTTTCATAAACTTCTGGTGGGTGTGGGGCTGTTTTTGAGTTTTCAGGAGAGCAACCTGGCAATATGTAACTAGACCATCAATACACTGTATTAACAGGGAAGGGGATGTTACAGAAGAAGGGATATGGGATATGCGCAGACATAACACAACTATGGGGAAACTGGAGAGGCGAAAGCCCAGAGGGCTTTGTATCAGAGTCTTTAACCATGGGCTACTGGGGTAAGTGGATGGAGCTCTGCTAGTAGAAAATTCCGAGCGGTCGGTGTGGACACAGGTGTGGGATTTTCCCATCGGGAAGCAGCTGACTAGAGAGCTGGAGACCTGCAGCCAGGATCTGACACGGGGCAGCGTTTACCGGCAGAGAAAGGAAAAGAGTGATGACACATGCACCCTGCTCTGCTCCGACAGCTAGGACCTTCAGAGAGATGAGGCGCCCATTGCCTGCTTCTGCGGGACGAAATCTCCCAGGCGCAACTGTGTCCCTAAGCAACAGGGAGAGGATTGTGGGAAACAGAGTCCCAGCCTTACCAAGGTGGCAATAGAACGATGCAGACCTCTTATCTTTTTATTCTGGTGCCTCACTTCACATCTGGGACGATAATGATACAGTGGGAGGTGTAGCCAAAGATTTCAAGAACAAAACTGCCTAAAGAGATGGCTCAGTGCTTCGGAGAACTTGCTTCCCTGCTAGAGGACCTGAGGCTCAGTTCCCAGTACCCACATCAAATGGTTCACAACCACCTGTAACCATAGCTCCAAGGGATCTGAGACCCTCTCCTGCACACCCATACACACACACACACACACACACACACACACACACACACACACACTATTGCTGCAAAAAAACCACCACGACCAGTAAACAAGTTGGGGAGGAAAGGGTTTATTTGGCTTACACTTCCATGTTGTAGTCTATTACTGAACAATGCCTGGACAGGAACTCATATAGGGCAGGAATCTGGACCCAGGAACTGATGCAGAGGCCATGGAGGGGTGTTGCTTATTGGATTTCTCCTCATGGCTTGCTCAGACTGCTTTCTTATAGAAACCAGGACCACAAACCCAGGGATGGCAACACTCACGGTGGGCTACCCCACCCCACCCCCATCAAATGCTAATTAAGAAAATGCCTTATAGCTGGATCTTATAGAGGCATTTTCTCAATTGAGGCTCCCTCCTTTCAAATGACTCTAGCTTGAGTCAAGTTGACATAAAACTAACCAGCACACACACACACACACACACACACACACACACACTGAAAAAATGCTTACTTCCACCATATAATTGGCATAATGAAAATATATAAAGTTAGAGATAAACCAATTTCCCAAAAGCATAATAATTGTGAAGACATATAATAATACAAGGCATGAATCTTAAAAATTATGTCAGATGACTCCACAAGGACACCAAGGCTCCTGTATTTACTTAGTGAATGGATTCATAAACAAATACATTTTTTGCACTTTTTATAATGAACTCTTTTTTGGGAACAGTGACATGTGTTTGAGGCAGGATCTCATGAATTCCATGCTGGTTTCAAATTTGCTATGTAGCCTACAATGACCTTCAATGTCTTCTCCATTTCTCACTTAGCAGGATTACAGGCATGCACCACCATGTTTGACCTGTCAAGTGACCTGGTTATAGCCTCATGATACAGACCTTTTAAAGTATATACAAAAGAGCACCCATTGGGGTGACAGTTTTGGAAATATTCATAGATTTAAGTTTTTTATATTTTCTTTTTCTCTTTTAAAAAATTAAATTAGAAACAAGCTTGTTTTACATGTCAATCCCAGTTCCTTCTCCCTCCCGTCCTCCCCTGCCCCCCATTGACCCCCTATCCCATCTCTTTTCTGCTCCCGGTGAGGCCTTCCATGGGGGATCTTCAAAGTCTGTCATATCATTTGGAGCAGGGCCTAGGCCCTCCCCTGTGTGTTTAGGCTGAGAGAGTATCCCTCTATGTGGAAGGGGCTCCCAAAGTTCATTTGTGTACTAGGGATAAATACTAATCCACTACCAAAGGTCCCACAGATTAACCAGACATCCAAACTGACACCCAAAGTCTGGAACAGTCCTATGCTGGTTTCCCAGCCATCAGTCTGGGGTCCATGAGATCCCCCTTCTTGTTTGCACCTCAGTAATAATTGGAGCATGAGGAGGCCTCAGGTCAGCTGTTTCTGTGGGTTTCTCCAGCACTGAGCACTGTCTTGACCCCTTTGCTCATTATTCCTCCCTCTCTGCAACTGGATTCCAGGAGCTCAGCTCAGTGTTTAGCTGTGGGTGTCTGTCTCTGCTTCCGTCAGCTACTGGATGAAGACTCTAGGATGACATTTAAGGTAGCCATCCATCTCATTATTGGAGAAGGATATAACATTTGAAATATGCCTTTCTTTATTCATTTCCCCAATACTGTCTTTAAAAAGTGTGGTTCCATGCATCAGTTGCAGGGCTGAGATTCCAGCGTAGTTTTCTACTGTACTTTGAGTACCCCAAACCCTCCCACAGTGTGCACAGTAGCACTGCCTGCTTCTGCTGGTGACTCCAGCTCTCTCTCAGCTCGTTGCTCGCCTTGCCTAGCTGCTGGGCTTTGGTTAGTTCCTGGCACAGGCTCAGGTCTCTCCCATAATCCTCCTCATAAGCTGTTATTCAAATCACACATCAACTTCCACTTTCTTTTCTTGTTTTAAAAAGATTTGTTTTCTTCATTAATTATGTGTGTTGTGCATGTCTGTGTGTATACGTACATATGAGTGCAGTGCCCACGGAAACAGAAGTGGGTACCAGATCCCCTGGAGCTGGAGTTACAAGTGGCTGCAAACCCTCTAATGTGGGTGCTGGGAACCAGACTTGGGCCTCCTGCAGCTGCTAAGTCGCCTCCAAACTCAACTGTCACCTTTTGTTGATGGGTCACTTGAGTGTCACATCTAGTGTGGATGTTTCTACCCTACCCAGCAGTCAGTCTCCATTGTGTTGTCCTCCTGGGTTTCCATCTTTAACTAATATGATTATGCTTTTTGCTTAGCCTCCCTAGGAAGCAAGGTCTACTAGAGCAGGGCCTTTTTTTCATTGTTTCCCACAATTTGTGTGCATCTCTGTAAGTCCATCGTGTGTGTGTGTGTGTGTGTGTGTGTGTGTGTTTGTATTCATGAAGGATAACATGTTTTGAGTTTTCTAAAATGAGTACTGTCCTTCAGAGTGAGGGTAAATGTTTGGTGTGGGTGTACTGCTTGAAGAGCAATCGTGTGTCACCTGTTGTAATTAACCACTCGGGTGTCATATCTACTAATAAATACCACAGACTATTGTTCACTGCCTTGCTCCTCTTGTACTATCTAACAAGGAGTGTCTGTACTACTGAAGAACCATGAATAAAATTTTGTAAGTTCATAGGAAGCTGGAAAGAATGCTCCCTCATAAATCATTCCATGTGTAGTAGTTATGCGTGTGGCACATGACAGTGCCTTAAAACACCCAGACATTGTGAAATCAAACTATTTTGTGTTAAAAAAAAGCCCTCCCCTCTGAACTTAGTGGTTCTGGCACTCTCGGCCTCTGGTCTGCTTGTGTATAACACACACACACACACACACACACACGCACGCACGCACGCACCACCTAGTGACAGTTCTGTTCCTTCCACATCCCACAGCCTTGGTGTCCTATCCCGTGGTGACTAATATATCAACTACTCCCATTGAGTAATTCTTTGTTTTCAGTCTTCAGAACCTAAGAAAATCAACTACAGAGAAATGTATTTGCATATTTTCTTCACATGCGTGCCCTGGTTTGGGGCTATATGGAATACGGGAAATTTTTATCTCCTTGTTCCCTTGTTAGTTGCAGTCATTGGAAGCCCCTTGACTGGGTAAGGCTGAGTGAAGGCAGGTTGCAACACCTTCTCGTTTTAGCAGCTGGGACAAACAATGAGTACACTTTACATGTGTATGCACAGGGCTGTCCCTCACTGCAATAGGCAAGTGTCATCCAGGCACCAGCTGCGATGATTAGCTCATAGGACAGAGAGCAGCATAAAATGTCTTCAGTGTCCTGTCTGTACTCGGGCCTCCAGTTCAGGAAAGCTCTTAATACCTCTGAAATGAGACAAAGATTTATATATTTGACATAAAGCAATTGAAGTGTCTATTAATTAGTTTTTTTTCCCAAGAGGAAACCTATATATCTATTTCTTAAAAATTTATTTTGGGAATGTCTCATAAGATACATTCCAATATAATCAACGAAAAACTTTTTATGTTTTCTGTTTGATGCAGATTTCATTAGCAAGCATGAAGTCCAGGAAAGACTGATAAAGAGAAAGCCCGGTGTCTTCTGTGCTCACCTGACTCTCTGGAACTCCTTGCTGCAAACATGATATTGTACGTCAGGTTTTCTTTTCAGACCCTTACCTGAGAGCTAGCTTGTTGATTCTTATGATCACATGGATTTGGGTTTCAGTTTTGTCAGCTTTTCATTCTTTCCATGGCTCCTAAGGCAGGTGGGGAGTGATTCAGAAGTAGCCATGGAAGACCCCTTGCTAACTGCTGCTGGGAAAAAAAAGTCAATGTAGAACGTTCTCACTGTAAGTTTACACAAAGCTGCTTCAGCGGAGTCCCAGCCAAACCCATTCCCAGCTCCCCTCCTTCTCTTGGTCTCGGCAATGATTTACCCAACCGTCTCCCTTTCCCACAGGTGCCCATTCTTTTCTATAAACCCCAGGTAGCGCCAGCCCTCCCGTCCCTTTCAGGATTGCTGTGTACATAGAAAAGAGAATCGGTCTGAACTGTATTCATTTCATTCTCACCACAGTTACACAAAGCAACTCGAAACCAGCCCCAACTCTCCCACTTTCTTTCTAATAACAGGTCTAAAATTTTCCTCTCTGTGGGAGGTACATGTAACTCGGTTCCCACTGGTTATTCTGTTATTCTGTTATTCTTGTCCTCACTGCTTTTTGCTCTAGCTGACCAGGCTGATCTTGAACTCACAGAGATCTACTTGTCTAAAGGCATGTCCGGCTATGTTTGGCATTTTATGATGCTAAATGTTGGGCTATTTGTTTTATGAAGCTGTAAACGCTGATGCAACCTTAACCTATGCTATGAATCCTTCTTGACCCCCTCCTCTTTTTCACGTAGTCTCTCTACTCACTTCTGCCCTGAAACTCCTTCCTGAGCTGTCGACACAAGGATCTAACCATTCTTCTCAGCAAAAATAGAACCAATCTCATCTTTAGTTGCTCTCTTCCTCTTTCTTCCTTCTTCTTCCTGTCCTAGCCAGTGACCCTTGTACATAGACATTTTTGCCAAAACTACAAAAGTAGCAAAATTGACTCCCATCTCTCTAAATAAATGTTATCCACTTTCTTTTCTTAATAATTATAATTTGTGCAATTCTTTCCACTCAAAATGTTATGGCTTGGCCCAAAACATTGTCTTCTTGCTTGGAAATTGTTATGACAACCTTCTGACTTCTCCCCAACTCATTATTGTCTCTGACATCTCAGAGAGTATTCTAAAACAGTAAAAATATCAATTCTTTATCTAGAATCCTTCAATATCTTCTCAGTGACCATAGGATAAAGTCAATTGAAAAAAATTATTTTATGTGTACCACACACATGGCTGGTACTCTAGAAGACCAGAAGATGATGTTGGATCCCCTGGACCTGGGGTTGCAGATAGCTGTGAGCCACCATGTGGGTGCTGTGATTAAAACCAAGTTCCTTGAAAAAGCAGCTCTTAACAATTGAAACACCTCTCTAGCCCCTAGAGTGAATGTTTTTCTACCAAAGCTAATCGGAAGTATCTTAGTTACTTTTCTTGTTGCTAAAACACTCTGAGAAAGCAACTTAATAGAGAAAGGGCTTGTTAAGGATCACATTTCAAGGGTACAGTCCATTATGTCAGGGAAGTCACAACATAAATAGTTTAAGGCAGCTGGTCAACAGAAAACAAGACGCACTGAACCTGTTAGAATGGAAAGTAGGGAATAACCTTGAACACATCAGCACTAAAGACAATTTCCTAAGCAGAACACTGATAGCATAGGCACTAAGATCAACAGTTTATAATGGGAACCTCATGAAACTGGAAGGCTTCTGTAAGGCAAATGACACCACCAAAGGTAAAGTAGCAGCCTACAGAATGGGAAAAGATTTTCACCAACTTTCTGATATAGGGCTAATATCCAATATATATAAAGAACTCAATAAACTAGACATCAACAAAACAAACAATCCAATTAAAAATGGGATACAGATCTAAACAGAGAATTCTCAACAGAGGAATCTCAAATGGCTGAGCAACATTTAAGAAAGTGTTCAACATCCTTAGTCATCAGGGAAATGCAAATAAAAAATGACTTTGTGTTTCCATTTTACACCCATCAGAATGGCAGCTCATGCTGGTGAGGATGTGGAGATAGGGGAATACTCCTCCATTGCTGGTGGGAGTGCAAACTTGTACAGCCACTGTAGAAATCAATATGGTGGTTCTTCAGAAAATTGGGAATTGATTTACATCAAGATTCAGCTATGCCAGTCTTGGGCATATACTCAAAAGACACAAGGACCCTTGCTTAACTATGTTCATAGCAGCTTTATTAGTAATATCCAGAAACTGGAATAACTTAGATGTCCTTCAACATGAGAATGGATAGAGAAAATGTGGTATATTTATACAATGGACATCATGAAATTTTCAGACAAATGGATGGAACTGAAAAAAACATCCTGAATGAGACAACCAAGATCAAGAAAGACAAGCATGATATGTATTCATTTATAAGTGGATATTATTGGTTAAATGAAGGATAATCACACTACAACACAGACCCAGAGAAGTTAGATGAAGAGTGGTCTAGGGGGTATATACACGGATCTCCCTGGGAAGGGGAAATAGAATAGACTTTTGTGGGTAGACTGGGAGTAGTTGGGGATAGAAACAGGAGGGACCAGGCTGGGGAGGGAGAGACAACTGAAATAGGTGGGCATTTAGAGGTAATATGGAAACACAGTGCAGTGGAAACTTCTTGGAACCTATGAAATTGACCCTATCAAGGACTCCTAGTAATGGAGGATTTGGAGCCTGAACCGGCCATCTTCTGTAACCTGGCTAGGCTCCCAGTGGTGGGACTGGGACACAGCCACAAAATCTAGGATCTACAATCTGTCCTGCCTCTAAGATGTACTTGGACAATTGTCACTCAGAACTTGTGGGAGTACCCAAACAATGACTGGTCTAATGTGAGGCCCAAGCTATGGGACGCAGCCCATGTCTGACACTGCCCAGATGACCAGGATATGGAAGATGGATGGCTCAGAGATCTATAGTAGAACCAAACAGGACTGACACACATGGAAAAAAGTCAATGAAATGATTGCTAGTGATATTCTGCTTTACTCATAGATTGGTGCCTAGCCCAATTGACATCTGAGATGCTTCTACCAGCAATCTATGGGAGCAGATGCAGAGACTCAGAGCCAAACAGTAGGTAGAGCTCAGGGAATTCTGCAAAAGATGGGGAGGAAGGATTGTAGGAATCAGGGGGATCTAGGACACAAGGAGAACACAGCCTGCAGCGCTCATGGGGATCACAGAGACTGTCGCAGCAATCACTGAATCTGCATGTGTCTACACCAGGCCCTCTGCACACAAACTGTGGCTCTGTAGCTTGGGGTTCTTGTGGGACTCCTAACAGAGAGAGTGGGGGACAGATATCTTTGACTCTCATGCCTGCTCTTGGGACTCTTTTCCTCCTACTAGGTTGCCTTGTCAAGCCTTGATGTGAGGGTTTGTGCCTAGCCTTACGGCATCTCTTTCTGTCATGTTCAGTTGCTGTCACTAGGAGGCCTGCTCTTTTCTGAAGGGAAATGGAGGAGCAGTGGATCTGGAGGAGAAGAGAGGTTGGGGGGGGTGCCCTGAGAGGAGCAAAGGGAATGGAGGCTGCAGTTGGGATGTATTGTATGAGAGAATAATAAGAAATAAAAAATACAGCTGGTCTTCTCAAAATTAATTGTAAGCTAGAACCAAACTGAGTTTACAAACTTGTAAAATAAGTTGGCATTCCCACCAGCAGTGGAGGGGTGTTCCCCTTTCTCCACATCCTCTCCAGCATCCCTCATGGAAGCCCTTGCCCTCCCTGGGGAGCGGAGGGGGATGGAGTGGGGAAGACGGGTTGGGAGGATTGGGGTGTGGGGGAGGAGAGGAGGGAGAGGGAACTGAGAGTGACATATGTAAAAAGTTAAATTAAAAAATATGAATAAAAAATACAGCTGGTCACTTTTGTCTACAATCCAAAAGCTACACAGCTCTCTTTCTTTGCTTTCATATAGTCCAGGACCGAGCCCATGAATTCAATGCTACACCCATAGAAGGTGGGTCTTTTCCACCTCAACTAATGTAATCAAGAAAATGCCTCTCAGGCGTACCCAGAGCCCCATCACCTGATTCCACATTCTATCATGCTGATAATAAGAAGTAACCTTCACAGGTATCATAACCATCTCATTTGTCATCTGGAAGGAATGCTTTTGAGGATAGAAGGGAGTGCTGGTGGCAGTTATGAAGGGATAAGTGTGGAAACTGAGGTTGGACAAGCGGATGGAAGGCCATCTTATTTCCAAGGCCTTGTGTGATCTGTGGCCAGGTGGGTATCTAAGGGCCACGCCTCTGCCAGAGCCGTGCTGTTTGGAGTGGGCTGTGCTCTCACCAGGGCCATGGTGCCTTCTAGGCCAGGGCTGCTGCTGACGGCTGTGTCTGGATTCATGGCCCTACACAACCAGCACATTCTGAGCTGATGTCTGTGGCTCCTGTTACCACCAAGAGCCATGCTAATGACCAGGGTCTGGTCAGCCACCCGAAAAGCCACTTTGGTGTCCAAGGGCCATGGTGCCATGGGGGCCATACTAATCTGGATGGCCTATGCTGCCACTGGGGCCATGCTATTGTCTTGGCTCTGGCTGCTGCCGAAGGCTACATCTGGCTTCGTGATTCTACTGCACCAGGGATCTGTGATGATGTCTGTAGCTGGTGTTAGCACAGTGGACACGTGTGAAATTTGAGGGCTGCCCTGAGTCAGCTCCACCCTTCACTGGCCCTGGGAATGATGGCCCTGCCCATCCATGGATACATGAGGCAGGAGAGCACTCTAACAAGCTCCAGGTGGGATGCAATGATACTTGCTGAGAGAAGACATTTTGAGAACTACTGCTCTGGTCTGCTTCACAGCACAGGTGGGGGAACCAACTCCATCAGTAAATCGTTCAGTGTACATGCACAAGGACCTCAGTTTGGATCCCCAGAACCCAGGTGAAAAGCTGGGTGTGTTGACTTGTGCCAGTAACAGGGCTGGGGATAAGAACAACAAATCCCTGAAGTTCTTTGGTCAGCCGGCCTAGCCAAATGGATGCATGAGCTTCAGTTTTAGTGAAATGTCTCAAAAATGAAAGGTAGAGAGTCAGGTATGCTGACACACACCTTTAATCGCAGCACTTGGGAGGCAGAGGCAAGTGGATCTCTTTGACATCAAGCCAGCCTAGTAT